TTAAATGAGAGTAACCTGAAACCTTTTAGTGAGATTTTTATATAATTATACTGGTTTCCCACAGTTAAGACTATGAATAAGCTTCTGATAGTAAGCTCTCAGTGTTCTTTCTGAAACGGTGAAGGGATTCTTTGCAAACCTTTCAAACTGAAGAAACTGAACTGAAGGAAAACTGACACACAGTGTAACATGTCCTCATAACAGGAAATATTCTTCAGCTGGATAAATTGAAGGAGTGGCACCTTTGTAAGGAACCTCCAGATCCTATGCCTTCCGCAAGGAACAAATGAAAGGGGAAAACAAACAGAACTGTCACATCAGAACCATCTCCCATTACCTGGGGCCATTTCCAATTATCAACATTTCCAAAAGCAGTTCTTCCACTTCTGAACTGTAAATCTACCTGAAAACTTTTTATAAATTAAAACTGAATTTTGAAAAGGTGATTTTTTGAGAAAGTATCACTTGAAAATGTTAGTATTAAAAAAAAAAAGAATCACAGCCATAAAAACACATACTGCCTTTTATCTATATAAATTATGCATGCAAATAATTTAAATGTTTCAAGGTGTTTTCTACTGCATGTTTATATTGCTGTATAACAGTACATAAACCATTAAAATAGGAATATGCTGATATTGTGTTTATGTACACATTACCTGAATCCAGATCTTTCTGAAAGGGATTTAATACTGCTAAGATTAATGCATATGTTTGATCAGAGTTTAGCATATCTCTTAGTGTTATGGAATATGGAAATTTCATTTTTTCCTCTAGAATCAACAGTAATTATATTAACTTAAAAGCATTTTGACTACTGTAATGCAGGAATAGTAATTTATATAGACATTTCTGCCTGTGTTATTTTATTTTCCTGATGGAAGACAAAGCTTACTGAGGTGACAGTTTGCTAATGACACTATATTGTTCTAGATAATAAGAACTGAGGTGACTGAAAAACTGTGGAAGGGCATTATGGAATTGAGTAACTGGCAAATACAGCAATCAGTGAAATTCAATGTAGATAAATGTAGAAGAACATACATAGGAAAAAAAAATAAATCTTAATTTCACATATCAAGTAACAGACTTTGAACTAACCATCATTCCAGAGTAAGATCTCAGACTTATGACAGACATTTGCACAACAATGTCAACCCGACATTTGGCAGTGGCTAAAAAGGCAAATCAAAAAGGCATTCAGTTCACAGAAGAATAGAGATGGAACAGCTTTCATTTAAGGGATGGCTAAGCAGACCTGGCAGAGAGAACTGGAGAGGAATCTGTGTAACAGTGGCCTAGATGTTGATCAATGGTGTGTTGTCTCTTCCAGTACACAGAGTGGGGACATCCAATGAAGCCGTAGGAACTGGGTGCAAAATTTAAAAAGAAAAGAGGAGGTTCTTCAGGCAATGGCTATTTGAGCTCAAGAAGTACTTGCCAAAGGATGTTACAGACAAAGGAAGTTTAAATGGGTCAATGGGAGACTGAACAAGTTTATGCAAGAGAGATCAGCTTTATTTCCTTATCCTTGTTTAAAGATTTCCCAATTAATCCTTTTTAATGTTCTGCCTTTTTCTCTTTCATCTGACCATGACACTCCCCTTAAGACATTCTCATTATGTGCCATACAGTTTATTTCCACACAGAAGACTGATGGAGTGGCATGCTGAATAAATAATTCTTTCTGTAATTACCCTAATTTCTAATAGCTGTGTCGTATTGCCTGGAAAAAGTGCTGACAGCTGCAGCAGGCTAGCTCTGAGACCTTGATGGCAAGGAATGTGTCCTTAACTCTATAAATATTTACTCACAATGCAGCAGAAGATACTATTACCACAAGTAAAACATAAACATACAAATATTTGCAAGAACATAATTGTAAAGTGGCCTCTAACAAATTTAACAGCATACCTTATGCATAATCAATGGCAAGTTGTATCATAAGTCAAATGATTGCTGTAAATCAGCCGCCGTGGCTTAACCACATGTTTTCTGCCCTTGTTTTGCAGATTGTACTGTATTTAGACAGGAGTGATGACAATAGAGTGGACACATTATTTATTTTGGTACAAGGTCTCTTTAAAATGCAACAAACAATGGGAGTAGGAGAGCAGTCAGAGAGACTTCATGTCTAGTTTCAGGCTACAGGGAGATTTGTAATAGGGAACAAATAAACTACCAACCCAAGGCTGTAGTAGCCATGACAAGCACCGGACAATCAATGCTTGTGTGTTGGACTTCCTACAGCTTCAGTGCGGGTGACTCCAGCTTGGGGGCAAATTGCACCAGACGTGCCTGTGCCTGCCTCAGGGTTCAGGCAGGGACAGCACGTGCAGTTCACAGCTTCATATAATCGTTTGGCTTGGAAAAGGCCTTTAAGACCCTCAAGCCCAACCGTTCACCCAGCACTGCCAAGTCCACCACCAACTCATGTCCCTAAGCACCACCTCTACACGTCTTTCAAAAACGTCCAAGGATGGTGGCTCTACCACCTTCCTGGGCAGCCTGTTCTAATCCTGGACAACCCTTTCGGTGAAGATTTTTTTCCTCATACCCCATCGAGACCTCCCCTGGCACAGCCTGAGCCCATATACTCTTGTTCCATTGCTTGTCCCTTGGGAGAAGAGACCCACACCCAGCTGGCTACCACCTCCTTTCCTAGCTGAGGTGTCACACACCCCAGCGCTGACCTCTGGAGCTTTCCTCTCACCTTTCCCATCACAGAAACCTCTCCCGACACCACCTGCAGAGGCGCTTGCTCAGCCCTACGTCCCGTGGGTCCCGGTCCCCTCAGCTGCCCCCTCAGCTCCCCTTGACCTCCTCCCTCAGCTGCACCCTGAGCTCCCCTCTGAGCTGCCCCTCAGCCCCCCCAGAGCTCCCCCCTTCTGCAGAGGCGCTTGCTCAGCCCTACGTCCCGTGGGTCCCGGTCCCCTCAGCTGCCCCCTCAGCTCCCCTTGACCTCCTCCCTCAGCTGCACCCTGAGCTCCCCTCTGAGCTGCCCCTCAGCCCCCCCAGAGGTCCCCCCTTAGCTTCAGCTCCCCCTGACCTCCCCCCTTAGCTGCCCCTCAGCTCTCCCCTT